CTCACTCTTCAGTGAAGGACTTGAAATGCCTCCTCTTTCAAAAGAAGGGTTTTGGAAAGCAGTGATGCCTCGGCTTTTCAAGGTCATCTCTGGTGGAGGAGATGTGTTGCGCTTTGAAGTTCCTAAACCAATGGAAAGTATGAACACATTCTTATTTGCCTTCTGTTTTTGAAGTTAAGACATTGATTCATACTGATTTTTTGCTTGTCCAGGAGACAAGTTATTTTGGTTCAAGGACGAAGAATTTGCTCGGCAGACTCTTGCCGGTCTCAATCCGTGCAGCATCAAATTGGTCACGGTATAACTTGTATAATGTTCCATAAGACTATTATTTGGTATGATATCAGAATTGATTCTAAAATTCAAACCACTTGAAAGATCTTTAAGTTTTTTTGAAGGAACCTGATCTCAACACAAAAACACTTAGATATACATGCATTTAGTGATTATTGCAAAAAAGGGTTGACGAAAAAATCATCACGAAAAGCGAGTAATATTCATCCAGGTTTGCTTTAAAAACTTTGTATGAAACTGTGCAGGAATGGCCACTAAAGAGTGAGCTTGATCCAGAGATCTATGGTCCGCCAGAATCTGCGATTACCACAGAGCTATTAGAGGCAGAGATCGGAGGGATAACTAGAGTTGAAAAGGTTAAGCATTCGTATTCAAAAAATTGCCTAGCTCTTGTTACCATTTGTTCCTATTGATGCAACAATAGTGTGTTTGTGTGTAATTATGTTCAGGCCATAAGAGAAAAGAAGCTAATCATCCTAGATTACCATGATCTCTTTTTACCATTTGTTAGCAAAGTAAGAGAAATCAAGGGAACAACGTTATACGGGTCGAGGACGATTTTCTTCCTAACCCCAGAGGGCACATTAAGGCCACTAGCAATCGAACTGACTCGCCCGCCGATGGACGGGAAGCCTCAATGGAAGCAAGTGTTTACACCATGCTACCATTCCACAGGGTGCTGGCTCTGGAGGATAGCCAAAGCCCATGTCCTTGCTCACGACTCCGGTTTTCACCAACTTGTTAGCCACTGGTATGTGTCTAATCGTGCACTAAAACCTAAAATTTGAATGGCTTTAAACTTAACTACTTTCCTTAATTTGTACATATTTTGCAGGCTGAGAACACATTGTGTGACAGAACCTTATATAATTGCAACGAATCGGCAGCTCAGTGTTATGCATCCAATTTACAGACTGCTACACCCCCATTTCCGATACACAATAGAGATCAATGCTTTAGCTAGAGAATCGTTAATCAATGCAAATGGTATCATTGAGAGCGCATTCTCTCCAGGCAAGTATTCTATGGAGATCTGCTCTGCTGCCTATGATAAGCTGTGGCGGTTCGACCATCAAGCATTACCCAACGACCTCATTAGCAGGTAAACATTAGCTTCCAATCTATGAATTCTCTCAGCCACATAAAGCAAAAGGAGAAACTCTAGTTTTTGGTGTAAAACTCTAGTTTTTATTTTGCCAGGGGAATGGCGATTGAAGATCTAACACAGCCACATGGTCTAAAACTTACAATCGAAGACTACCCTTTCGCCAACGACGGTTTAGAGTTATGGGATGCCATCAAACAGTGGGTTAGCAACTATGTAAATCACTACTATCCAGACACAAGTCTAGTGGCATCTGATGATGAGCTCCAAGCATGGTGGAAAGAAATTCGAACGGTAGGGCATGCTGACAAGAAAGATGAACCATGGTGGCCTGAACTCAAAACCCGGCATAACCTTATCGATATCCTCACTACTATCATATGGGTGGCCTCAGGTCACCATGCCGCGGTGAACTTCGGACAATATACATATGCAGGATACTTCCCTAACAGACCTACCATTGCTAGAATAAAAATGCCAACAGAAGACCCTACAGATGAAGAGTGGAAATTTTTCTTGGAAAAACCTGAAGCAGTACTTTTGGCAACCTTCCCTTCGAAACTTCAGGCAACAAGAATAATGGCAGTTTTGAATGTGCTATCAAACCATTCTCCTGATGAAGAATATATTGGGGAGGAAATAGAACAAGCATGGGCAGATGATCCAATTATAAATGCAGCTTTTGAGAAGTTCAGTGGGAAGTTGAAAGAGTTGGAAGGGATAATTGATGAAAGGAATGCCAATCCAAAGTTGATGAACAGACATGGAGCTGGCATTGTGGCATACGAGCTTTTGAAGCCTCATTCGAAGCCAGGAGTAACAGGAAAGGGAGTTCCATACAGTATTTCCATTTGAAACAAGCAAACTAATTAAACTTGATATTGATAAGATTTTTGTATCAAGTGAGAAATTTTGGATCAACAACAGATGTTTTTGAACTTCACTTTATGTATGATCACCGTTGCAAAGTGTTAAAACATGAGTATTGAAACAAAATTATATAAATTTTATGTGAACTTTTTTTTAAAAAAGTATGTAAGTATATATATGTATATATTCCTTTTTCTTTTTATAATGAAAATCGATATTAGATAAAGCAAAAAAATAGCCAGCTGACAGATGATACATTTATAAAATTATAACAAACAAGTGAAATACTAAAAAACACAAGAGAAATAGCATTGTAACCAAGTTACCGTTTCTATGAAGGCTACCTTTGCTAGTCCCTGATAAATATTTGCTAGTACTTGATAAATATTTAATTTGCCATATTAGAGGCAAAAATTTAATTAGAACCCTTGGATTGGTGTATACTTTGTGGAAATTAATACTCAACTGCTTACACCATGCAAAGTTTAATGGATTTTTGATCAAGTTTACGTTGTAATTTTTTTATGTTCTGAAATTCATTTTGAAAATGGCAACCACGTGATAATTAATTTGTAGTACTATGTAGCACAATAATTGATCGTTTTCCAAGAATTGTTATTTCCTTTCAAGTTTGTTAGGCAAGTGATTTGTTCACATGTTTGGTTTGTCAGGATCAAAAAATCATTTAATCAAAGTTTTCCAACGGTGATCGGCAGAGAAAAAGATTTGAGAGCGTTTGACTTGATGTTAGATTTCGTTATTAATCATTATTAGAACACATATTTCAGAATAAATAGGTAAATCGAAAATAATTGATATATAAAACTGAGAAAGAATCATTCATCAGAGTTTAAATTTTTTTGAATGAAACTTAATCTCAGTTATTTAACTCTACATGATACTAGAACTTTAAAAAATTTGACGGTCTCAGTAAAGATTATTAAAACTAATTGAATAATTAATATATAAAATTAATAATAGTCCTCTATCATTAAAATTAAATTTTAACTATCAGTTCTATAATTATTAGGTGTTGATGACCATGCAAAAAACATATGGTGCATAATTCATAAGATATGATCTGTAACGATATCCTGTCTCTAGAGAAACGAAAAAGACAAAATATCCTTCGTATTTTGGATCACGTGACTTTGTTCTTCTAATTTCTTTACGTATTTACTTTGAAGATCATACTTTCCTCGTTTTGTTAATTTCCTTTTCTGAATTCGTTTGGGCAATTCCATTTGCAGACTATGTCGGTAACAATAATTTAAATTGTACTAACAGTGAAGTGAAATATTATGTTTTTTTTTTGTTGAATGTTGTGAAACTTGGGGGTTGAGTTAAAGGTTTGATTTTTCAGAATTCTAAATAAAATGCCTTTTGAAGACCTATGCAAGTTCAAATCTTCGTAACAATAATTTTGAGGTCTCATTTATGAACTTAAACTTTTAAGTGAGATGATTATTTGATATAATATTAGAGCTTTGACGATCATAGTCGTAAGTTCAAATCTTATCTCCTTTACTTTCTCTTCTAGTTAATTAAACACAAGATGCTAGACCTATGCAAGTTTTAAGTCCAAAGTATTTTTATTTAAAAAAATATATTAAAAAATAATATAAATTATATCCGAAGTGTCATTTATAAATTTAAACTTTTGAGATTTCTTGAAAAACCTGAAGTAGTACTTTTGGCCACCTTTCCTTCAAAACTTCAGGCAATTTTAAAGTATGCTTGTTTTGAATGTCTTGGCAGTTGATAAAATTATAAAATTAGTACAAACAAGTGAAATAATCAACAACAAGAGGAAAATTGGCATTCTAATTAATAAGTCATCGTTTTTTGTAAGACTACTTTAGCTAATATTTACCAGTCCTTGATACGTATTTGATTCGCCATATTTGTGGCAAAACTTTACTTTGAACCCTTGGATTGGGGTAGCCTTCGTGGAAATTCTCAACTGCTTACACCATGCAAAGTTTAATGGATTTTAGATCAAGTTTACTTATGTTGCATTATTCTTTATGTTCTGACATTTATTTTGAAAATAGCAACCACGGGAGAGTTATTTGGTGGTACGATGTACGAAGCACAATAATTGCTCCTCGTTCATGAATTGTTTCCTTTAAGTTTGTTAGGGAACTTATTCCGTCACATGTTAGTTTGGTCGTTACCAAAAAATCATCTCAAGGTTTGTCCTTGTTAAAAAATAACCTCAATTTAAAAGCTTATATTATTAAATAATATATAAAAAATAATTTTATGTTAATTCTTAATACAACATGTTAAGTGAAAATTCGAGACATGTAAAATTTATATTTTGGGATTTTCCTTTTATATTAATACTTAGACCATTTTTAGATTCAATTTTATCTAATAACATGTCAAAAAATTATTTCAATCTAAAAATATAAGTTATTGAATAAAGCTTTGGAAATAGTTTTTTTTTTTTTTTTTTTTGGAAGATACTTGAGCGGAACAATCAAACTACTGACATGGAAAAACTGTCTACGTATAGATATCTAATTTTGCCATACTTTTCACGAGCCATCTTTGCTTGATTACAAGACTTTCCACGAGCAATTTGTAGTCAACGAAAATAAAGTTATACACATCCACATTCATCTGCCAGCCCACATGTCCTATATATTTAAAACTTAGACACTCCTAAGTCCTAACCCAAGCAATCAACTCACAACGCTTAAAGTCCTTCCAAAAACCACAAGCAATGTTGAAGCTTCAAATTCATGGACAATCAAACTCTACAAGAACTCCCTTGCTATTGACCAAACAATTTATCCATGGAAATGTCCAGGCTTCCTTCCATCTCAAACCAAGATCCTCTTTCAATATTAAAGCACGGAAACGCTTCAAAGCTAGCTTCAAACCTTGTGGCTCTAAAGCCATAGCAAGTCTTACTCAGGACACTAAAATCAAGGTTAAGGCTACTGTGAATGTGAAACGAGCAGTTGGTGGGCTCCTAACAAGCCTAGGGATTGATCAAGGTCTCAATGACATTCAAGACTTGCTTGGTAAAACAATCGTATTAGAGCTTATTAGCGCTGATCTTGATCCAAGTAAGTATTTAAGCCATTTGCTTTCCTCTTAATAACAACATCATCAAACAAATAATTTTGGAGAAAATTCTCTGTTTTTCCTTTCAATTTTTTTTTTAATAACAGAATTATATATTGATTACTCATAGTTTAGTACGATAATTAAAAATTCGAATTATTTTCATATAGATTGATTTACCTATTTACATCATGTTTATGGAATTAATCATGACTTATAATTTAGGCATGAACTTTGAGAATTAATTTTGTAAGGACACATAAACGAAGCTTAACTATGATCATAATTAATTTGTTTTCACTCTTTTGGAAGAGACGGAACTACCGAAACCAACAATTCAAAGGCATGCACGCCGAAGGTTAAGCCAAGCAAATGGGTATGTCAAATATGAAGCAGAATTTGAGGTTCCACAGGATTTCGGAGAAGTTGGTGCTATTTTTGTTGAAAATGAGTACAATACTGAGATTTTCCTTCAAGACGTTGTCCTCAGTGGCTTACCTCAAGGCACCATTAATGTGACTTGTGACTCCTGGGTTCAATCTAAATATAACGATAACCGGAAAAGAGTCTTCTTCACTAACAAGGTCTGTATGATCTTTAACTTTCTGCATATATACATGTATAATCTTTGCATGCAGAAAGTCCATTTGTCAATGGTACACACCAGTGACACATGGACTTATATATAATATAACACCATTGACGCATGTACTTTCTGCATGCAAAGAATAATGTATTTTTGGGTTCATTTTACACCGCCCATTTTTTATCATGCTAAATAGTTTAATCTATTTTTATATAACAGAACGAGTATTCAATCTATTTTCATATTTTCAATTATATTTATTATAATTTTAAATAATATTTAAGTTTTCAATTTATTATTCTCTTCAATTTGTTTGACAATTAATAATTTTTTTAATCAAAATATCCCTAATCAAAATGAAAAAAAGAAAATTAAAGAATTAAAAATAATACATGCAGGTTATGTAACTTTTAAAAAAAAATTTAACATTTCAACTAGAGATATTTTGATCAAAAAATTTATCATGATCAGAACATTTGATAAAAAAATAAATTAAAGATTTAACTATTATTTATAAACATAATATGTGCAATTAAAAATGTAAAATCAAATAAAAACCTTAGACTATTATATAAGAAGATATTTAGCTATTAATCTTATTATTTAAACAAACTTCCGTGGTAACTCAAGATAATTTCTATATATATATATATATATTTTTTCCTAGAATGAAGTTCTATATTTTTAAAACACTTGGTAATGAGTTAGACAGCCTCCTTGGAAGATTTACCAAGTTAATGTTTATATATTTTTGACACCATTCCTTTATAGTAATTTTTGGGTGATTGAATTTTCTTAATAAAGAACTAATTAATACATTTTTTAAAACTAAAGAAGTAATTTATAATTTACTCATGCTATCCATCACCAAGACTGGATTTTACACACCATTAAAATTTTTTGTCTCCATGGAATAATTCTGTGGGCCTTAAATGATCCCATGTGACACACAACGACTACATGACTTCAGCAGAATGAGAAAAGAAAAGGACTAAGATGACTTCAGCAGAGAGAAACGAAAAGGACTAAAATGACTTCAGCACTGCTTCAAGTTCTGTAATATTACTTCGATATTAAATAATAATAACATTGGACGAAAAATTTTATAATACTTAAATAATAATTATTATATATATATATATATATATGTAATAGTTATTTTATAAGTATATTCTATAAATAAAAATATACATATTAAAAAAAATTATATATAAATCATTAAAAATGATAAGAAGATTTTCACGTTGGTTTTATTTCTTTCTCATTTTTATATCTATCTTTCTCTTTAAAAATTGACACAATGAAATATCTACTTTACATATATAATAGTTATTACTTGAGTATTATAAAATTTCTCATTCAATATTATTATTATTTTAACTCAAATATATATATATATATATCTTTTTTACCCTTTTCTATTATTTTTATTACTACAGGACGAGTGTCTGTGGACCAATTTTAAGTATGGAGATTTTTTTGTAACTGAGCCCTTAAACAATTTATTATTTATTAACATCTTGAATGGTATATTCATAAACAAATTATTTTTCAAAAATTCAAATCACTTATCGTGAAACATGCTAAACTCGGAGTTGTACCTTTCAACGAGAGTTGTGATAGTACAGAACTTGAAACAGTGCTGAAGTCATTTTAGTCCTTTTCGTTTCTCATTCTGCTTAAGTCGTGTAGTCGTTGTGTGTCACATGGGATCATTTAAGGCCCACACATTTATTCCACGAAGACAAATTTTTTTAACGGTAATCTTGTTGATGGATAGTATGAGTAAATTATAAATTAGTTTTGTTAGTTTTAAAAAATATATTAATTAGTTTTTCTTAAGAAAATTAATTATTTAGTCTCTACATCAGTGTTAATTATCTTTAATTTAATCTTATTTTATTTTAAAAAATATTTTCTTTTCTTAGAATTTATTCCACATTTTTAACTTATTTTTCTCTTTTTTTAAATTAAGATTTAATAAGAAAAAAAATAATTAAATTAAAAAAATAAAAATTATAAAAACTATATAATAAGTTTTTAAAACAAGAAATGCTAATTAATTCGTTTCTTGAAACTAGAAGAGCTAATTTATAATTTATTCCATCAAAGGGTGGTGAAAGGCCAATCCAAATCTTTTTTTAAAAAAAAAAAAAAAACCCTGCTGCAATTAATTCACCTAAGTAATCTTGATTTCAAATTTTTATCGTTTAAATTTGTTTTTTATTAATGATATAGTGTGTATATTTTGTGAACCAGTCATACTTGCCATCAAAAACACCAAGTGGTTTGAGAAGGCTAAGAGAGGAAGAGCTCTTAATTCTGAGAGGCAATGGTCTAGGCGAACGCCAAGCTGGTGACAGAATATATGATTATGATGTCTATAATGATATTGGTGAGCCTGATAAAAGTTCAGAACTAGCAAGACCGGTGCTCGGCGGTGAGGAACTTCCTTACCCTAGACGTTGTCGAACCGGCCGGCCTCGAAGCGAGAAAGGTAAGAAACATGGAGTTTATCGATTCTCATAACTAATTTCTGCATATCATCCCTGCACAGAGGCCTTTTTTTTGCGATTGATAATTTCCTATTAAAAAAAAACAACCGTAATGCAGATCCATCATCAGAGATAAGGAAAGGTGATTTCTACATCCCTAGAGATGAAGCATCGTCAGAAGTAAAGCTGATAACATTCTATGCCAGAACATTGGCCTCAGTATTCGAAGCATTGGTACCTAATTACTTAGCAAATGGTGATCTTGAATTCCAAGACTTTAAATCCATAGGATCCCTTTTCGATGAAGAACTTGAATTGCCTCCCCTTCCGAAAGAAGTGTTTTGGAAAACAATTCTGCCCCAACTTTTCAAGGCTATCAGTACCAGCAATGGAGAAGATCTGTTGCGCTTTGAGATCCCTAAAACATTGAAGAGTATGGAACATACTTATCTTATCCTGGATTTCTTGCATGTTTATCTCACTTAATACTAAGTTTTCTTTTTCTTGCATTTTCAGGAGATAAATTCTCTTGGTTTAGGGATGGAGAATTCGGTCGACAGACTCTTGCCGGTCTCAACCCATACAGCATTAAATCGGTCACGGTATGCTCCCCAAATAGCATACAATACAGTACTTAGATTTTATTTTTCTTTGCCAAAGACTCGAACCTAAGACCTGTTAGGGGAGGAAAAATGGGTGTTAGTTCAATATGCTTAGTTTCTAATCAACAGTCAATATCTCAGGTTCAATATTTCGTAGTGACGATTGAAAGATTTGTTTGACAAAATGGAAAAGTTGTGCAACAATATTCATCCATATTTGCTTACAACATTGAGCAAATTTGTGCAGGAATGGCCATTAAAGAGTAAACTTGACCCAAAGATCTATGGTCCCTCAGAGTCTATGATAACTACACAGCTAATAGAGGTTCAAATTGGAGGAGGACTTAAAGTCCATGAGGTGAGTATTGTTATAAAAAATTAGAAGAAGAAAAAAATCTTGCTATGGTCTAAATTCTAATACAGTGTCATATATACGACCATAATCAGGCCATAAATCAAAGGAAGTTGTTCATCCTAGATTACCATGATCTCTTGCTACCATTTGTAAGCAAAGTAAGAGAAATTGAAGGAACAGCATTATATGGATCAAGAACATTGTTCTTCCTAACCCCAGAGGGCAGATTAAAGCCACTAGCTATTGAACTGACTCGCCCGCCGATGGATGGGAAGCCTCAATGGAAGCAAGTATTTACACCATGTGAACATTCCACAGGTTGCTGGCTTTGGATTCTGGCCAAAGCGCATGTCCTTGCTCATGACTCTGGTTATCATCAACTTATTAGTCATTGGTATGTGCCAAAAATCCATTATAATCGGACCAAAACTATGCCAGGTCCATGGGTAGTCAGTAACTTCCGTCTTCTTTGTTGGAGGTGTTTGCATTAACATAGAGCTCATTAATATGTTTACTTATGCAGGCTAAGAACACATTGTGTGACAGAACCTTATGTAATTGCAACAAATCGGCAGCTCAGTGTAATGCATCCGATTTTCCGACTTTTACGACCTCATTTCCGCCACACAATGGAGATCAATGCTCTTTCTCGAGAATATCTAATCAATGCTGGTAGTACCATCGAGTCCTCATTCTCACCTGGGAAGTATTCTATGGAGATTTGCTCTGCTGCCTATGATCAACTATGGCGGTTCGACCATGAGGCACTACCCAATGACCTAATCAGCAGGTAACTTCACCAAGATTTTTGGTTTCAATTTGAACTGTCTGAAGCAATATCTTCAGGTGATCATTTCATTAACTATTTTTTTCATTGCCAGAGGGATGGCTGTTGAAGATCTAACAGCTCCTCATGGCCTAGAACTTACAATTAAAGACTACCCTTTTGCCAATGATGGCTTAATCTTATGGGATGCCATCAAACAATGGGTTAGTGACTATGTTCATCACTACTATCCGGCTCCGAACCTCGTAGCGTGTGACGAAGAGCTCCAAGCATGGTGGACTGAAATTCGGACAGTTGGCCATGCTGACAAGAAAGACGAACCATGGTGGCCGGAACTGAAAACCCCACATAACCTTATTGATATCCTCACAACTATCATATGGGTGGTCTCAGGTCACCATGCCGCGGTGAACTTCGGACAATATACATATGCTGGCTACTTTCCTATCAGGCCTACTATTGCTAGAATAAAAATGCCTACTGAAGACCCTACAGATGAAGATTGGGAACGTTTCTTGGAAAATCCTGAAGCTGTACTTATGGAAACATACCCTTCAAAACTTCAGGCAACAACAGTAATGGCTGCTTTGTATTTGTTGTCATACCATTCTCCTCATGAAGAATATATTGGGGAACGTATAGAAGCAGCATGGGCTGATGATCCAATTATAAAGACAGCTTTTGAAGAGTTCAGTGGAAGGTTGAAGGAGTTGGAAAAAATAATCAATGAAAGGAATGCTAACACAGAATTGAAGAACAGAAATGGAGCTGGTATTGTGCCATATGAGCTCTTGAAACCTTTTTCTAAGCCAGGGGTCACTGGGCAGGGTGTTCCCTATAGTATCTCCATTTGAAATATATGAAAATACATATAAATAACAGAATAAGTTTTTGAATATTAGAATTTTTGTAAGGATAAAAAAGGGTTAGGACTCCGCCTCGGTTGTATTTCTATTATACATATTATTTAACATGCTGAGCTGAGAAGTTTCAAACCAAAAATCTTTTTCTTGTTCTAGAAACTTAGATAGTCATTAATTCACCATGAATCGATTTCTGATGCAAAACATGAAACCCACAAATTATAAAGTAATAATATTTTGTTTCATTTTTTGGAATAAATATTAAAAAGAAGTTAATTATTACAAAGAGTCTGCAGCTCCATTAGCTTCCTTGAAAACATAAAGGAAGGTAACTGGTTTTGGAGACTTGAGAAGAGGTGACGTATATGTCTATTTCTTGAGGAAGCTCTTGAACCAGTTAGCTGAAAGTTTTGGATATCTTTTCAATCCATTTTTATAATCTACATAGTTGATTCCAAATCGAATGCTGTATCCCGAAGCCCATTCGAAATTGTCCAATAACGACCATGCAAAGTATCCCTTTACATTTACACCATCCCTGCAAAAAGAAAAAAAATGATGTTAATGAATATTTTGTAAAAGATTAATGGGTTAATTTATCCTTCTATGTAATAGAGTAATTTTCTCCATTTATCATTATATTTCTAATTGAATTAAATTTATTATTAAAAATACATTAAGTATCTAATCTATCTCATTATAAGATTATTAAGTTAAACTATCGAAATAAATCACATCATGTGTACATAAAAACTTGTGAGTGCATTTTATAAATAAAAATTAGTTGTATATAAATTATGTGAATAATTCTGATAATTTGATTTAAAAATCTGACAAAAAATATATAAGAGACTTAACATATATTCAATGATAAAATTGACTCAATTAATAATATAAAAATATATTTAAAAATTATATTATTACAATTTTTAAGACTGATCACTCTCTTTTCACAGGGAGAAAATCAGAACGGGAAAACAAATCAACATTGATTAATCAAGATAAAGCAAGGAGGATATTCATCCCATGTAATAAACATACAGTACTTACTTGATTGCTCTTTGAAGGAAGGAAAGATGATGATAATAGTAATCAACCCTCACGTTGTCAGCAAGGGCTTCCTTAAGACTTATCGAATCATCATGGGTTTCACCTACACCTGAATAAAAAGGAAGATATTTCATTTGAAATTGGAATTAATTAATTTGTTCCTTTTTTTTTTCCCTTTTAATGAGGAAATGCATACCATTTTCTGTGATGTAAATGAGTGGATTGTTGTACTCTCTCTTTATATGGAGTAAAAGATCTCGAATTCCCCTTGGATAAACGTAAAGCCAATCTGAAGCAGTCTGAAACATTTCATTTCAACAAAACATTAAAAAATTTGTGACTTTCCTTTAATTATTTGCTATTATTTGTTTCAAGAAGAAAAAGGTCAAAAAAATACAATAATTTTTTCGATCCAATAGTAAGAACAACATTGAAATTAAAGCATAATCGAAAATATTAAATCCTATAAGAATTTGCCTAATGTTTAAGGTTTAAGACTTGGTACACACCTTTGCACCGATGGGGACACCATTTCGCACACCTATAGAAACATACACAACAAAACATGATGAAATATATGATCATAATGAAGATTTTTTTTCACTCATAAAACTCTAATTCATCAGTAGAACTTCTGTTCATGCTTACTTGAAAGATTAGCACGAGAATCTGTTAAATAGCTTGGTTTTAGAGAAACAGAAAGGGGTATGTGAGCTGCATAATTAGCAGTATAATAGTTCAACCCGAGAAAATCAAATGATCCTTTCAGCAGTTTGGATTGTGCTTTTGAGAATTTGGGTAATCGTTTTCCAACAAGAGATTTCATTGAGCTTGGATAATCATCATTGACTATTGGATCCATGTACCTAAGAAAAAAATAAAAATATATGACTAAATAATCAAAGGAAAATATATACATATCAATATTAAGAGGTAGACCCTAAACACACCATCCGAACATGAAATCTAGAGCTCGCTTGGCAGCATGACGGTCTTGTTTCGCATCAGAAAATGGCACAAACCAATGAGAAAGCAATGTGATACCTATCACTCCCTTTTGAGTTTTCTGCAATAGTTCAACATAAAATAAATATAGTTTGCTGTACAGTAAAAATCTTGCTTGAAGATATTCTGAAAATTTTGATAAAAATCGTGAAGTAAACCTGATATTTTTTCCTGTACAATTTTACAGCTTTGGCATGAGCAAGAAGCTGGTAATGCGATGCCAAGTAGGGTTCAACTCCTGAATCTCCTCCAGTACAATTTAATTTTTGCCACTCTGAACATCGACCTGGTGCAAACTTGCCTGTTGAATAACCAGTTATGTAGCTCCATGGCTCATTCAATGTGATCCAATGCTTAACTCGATCTCCAAATTCTTCGAAACAAATATTCGCGTAGTCTTGAAAATCTTTCCTGTATAATTCGACAAATGATATTATGTTTGTATCTGTGGGTTGATCATGAGTTTGAGAACTTTTACTTAAAATCTTCTCTCTTTCTTGAGCATTATGTTGTTTTTTTTCCTTCGAATTTAGATACTTACACAATTTTGGGGCTTAAGAAACCTCCATAATCATCTTCTAAGCCTTGGGGGAGATCCCAGTGAAAGAGAGTTACAAATGGTTGTATACCTATGCATGACAAAGGTAAAGAAAGAAATAAGTTTATTTTTTCCCAATTTGACTGGTAATAAAAAAAATGAATTTTAAGAATAAATCAAAACCGTTGGCTAGTAGCTCATTGATGAGGTTGTTGTAGTATTTGATTCCTTCTTTATTCACGCCCCCACTTAGCTTTCCATCTGAGAGTATTTAAGTAAATAAATATTAGATTTAAAAGATGTAATTTCAACACAAACAGATTTAATCTGACGATTATATATTTAGTTAATTTTTTTAGTGAAACGTATAAATAAATAAAAAATATAATTTCAATAAATATTTGATAATATACTGATCCAAAAAGAAATTGTGTCAAATTTTGAATCATGAGAGCTTACTAGGTAATATTCTAGACCATGAGATTGAAAATCTGTAAGCATCAAAGCCCAACCCTTTCATATTCCTAACATCTTCCTGTGAAATAATTTGACAAAAAAACGTTAGGCCTCGATCTAGAAGCAGTTCAAAAACATATTGTATCACTCATAATTCTTGAATGATTATCTAGAAAAGAATGCATTAACTTTTTTTTCCTTTCCCTCGTCAACAATTCCATGTACATACCTTGTAGCGATGATATGAATCAACAGCTACATCTCCATTCGATCGATCCGCTATCTTGTCTGTTGTTAGAAAACGTATCCCCACAATAAAGAAATAAACAATACATAAATAAACAATACATATTTTTATGAAAAAAAAAACCCTAAAAAACGACAGTATTAGACAACATGGTAAGACAACAATTGATGCATATGTTATTAAAATGGAACTGTCCAATACAATAGACAACTTGGGAAAGGACCTATTAATTCACCTCTTCTGTCCAAGCATTGAATTCTACCACAAGCCGAGCAATATTTAATAAATTCACCTATCAAATTAGAGATATAAATAGAAGAGAACCTGGATATTTGTGGGTGAAAGTATCCCAGATACTTGGTCCTCTGCCTCCTTCAGCTGCTGCACCTTCTAACTGAAAAAAAAAAAAGACAGACCTTTTTCTGTTAACTATATTTCATTAGGATTTCAAACCCTAAGCAAAAATAACCAAAATCTAACCTGATAAGATGATGATGCTGTCCCAAAAATGAAACCTGCCGGAAAGCTACCACGGATAAGAGAAGTAGTAGTGTTGCAGCTTGGTGTAACAGTTGCTACATTACAAGTCACTATGCCAAGCAGAAAAGTTAGAAAGAAATAGTTTTTGGTTGCCATATCTGATTCTGCTAGACTAGAGGGACCTTTTTTTATTTAATAGCTCACTGAAAAGGCACCAAGCCAAGCTTGGGGAAATAATACAAAATGGATTCAAAGAAGCCAAAGAATATATAGAAAAACAAAGCAAAGGAAAAACCAAAAAACAGAATGTGCCCAAAATAGAGACAACTTATTTAGCTTCAAGCATCCAAAAATCGTGGAAATTAAACTTTTATAGCAATCTATTATTATCCATGCTTATTCCGATGCCTTATTTTGAGAAAAAAGACAGATACATGATTAAAAAAAAAGTCTTATCCAAATCATAAAATGACAAAAATATTTTGTATTTAAGTTAAATAATATATTTTTTACTTCTTTTTTTTTATCTATTTAATTTCTTTGTGTCTATCTCTTTTTTATGAATAAGTATCGATAATTCTCTTTCTTTGTGTCTATCTTTTTTTTCAGTAATGAAATATTGATAATTATCCCTCTTTTGTGTCTATCTATTTGTTTCTATCTCTTATTTTACGAAGTATTGATAATTATACTGAAATACTAAAATCTTGCAGCCAAACATGGCAGTTTACCTGGTAATTCCCTCAAAACCACAAGTTAACAAGAAGACCATATCATGTTTACCTGATAAATTGCTGCGATAGCAACCTAGCAGTAAATTCCTAAAACGGGCCGGGGGACACCTTGTTTGGCTAATACATGCACGCAAAAAAAATCAGATTCCAAAACTAGACATTAATCCACAAAATTCCCTGGCTAATGATACTGCAGCATCATGTCATTAGAGGTGAAGATTATATCATGTCTATATACACAGCCTATATAGAGGTCTTATCTTTTAACCACAAGCGAATCAGATTCCAAAACTAGACATTAATCCAAAAATCATTTTATCAAGAACAGTAGATTGTCAAAATCCACTGGTTTTTCATCGAAAACTTTTTTACTCCCCTTAAAATGTAAAAATAACAATTTATCACTACAACATTGAATGAGTTTTAGTAAGAAAGCCTAAACTTTACTTATCTGGGAAGTAATAAGATGTCCTTTCTTGGATGAGGTGGAAGTGACGACTGATGTGCAAAATAATTATGGCTCCAAGAAAAAGAATATCTAATTAATTATGATACATAAAATTTAAATTGTATTTAATAAATATAATATAGTATATTTAAAATGTATCTAAATAATAATGATGTATGATATTAATTGTCACTAGTCGATATTGAACGGGACTCTCGAAAAAAAACTAAGTTTGTTTGTTCTCAAATGATTTTTCAAAGTTTGTTCTTTACAACCCTCAATCCACATTTTGGATCTTTTATTATTCACTCTAGTGATACAAACTATTTGCCAGTTTAGAGTTGCTACATAGTATTGAAATAACTAAAAGCCTAAAATAGCATTAGTTGAGAGATTTTAAGATAAGTAGTTAGTTACGTTTTAGAAAGCTATTGATCACCCAAAAACACCTATTTCCTAAGAAAGGTTCTATGTCTAGTTTAATCTTAAATTCATCTTCAAAAGCATGTTATCCGTGCCAAGTTATTTTCCGATTTGAACTCCAATTTTTCAAGTCAAATTAAGTTTTTTTATTTTCGGGCATGGCATCATATTGAAACTATCGTTGGATCCCTTCATCGGGGAACACATCGGTTTAAATATCGGATCCATTTTAAGCTTTTACTCAATTGGTATGTCAAAGAACATTCCGATTATTAAATATTGATGATATTTTTTAAAAACTAACAATAGTCCTATCAAATAGAAGAATTTGTTAAAAAAAACTTATTATTTTTTTCTCATTTTTTATTAGCAACAGTCTCTATGAGATAGGATACTTCGTTAGGAATTTTTATTTTTTTTTCTTTGTCAATGGAGAATCGTCATTAGTCTCTAAAAATTTGAAGACTTGACAACTTATCCCCCATTTGGTTATCTAAACTAATTTTGGAAACAAAATCCTAAGATTAAAATTAATATGTCATTTTTTTGCTTATCGTTTTTATCTTTTTGTTTTTGTTTTTTTAATCGATAGAAAATCGTCATTAGTCCTTAAAAATTAGGAGACTCTATAATTATCCACCTATTGATCATATAATGTAATTATTGAAATAAAAATGCACAATTACATTAATTAAATAAAGTAAATGAAATTTAAATATTGAAATAGCAATTAAACATTAAATAAAACCATACATAAAATAAATTCAAGATTAAATGAAATAAAACTAAGGCTTTTTGTTTTTTTATCTTTTTCTCCAGTCTAGCCCAATTTTCATCTTTCCGAGGTGGATTGATTTAGTTGAGCCCAATCATATGTGGGTTAGGCGTAGACCAACCCGAGCCTTTTCAATTGGACCCAATAGCCACTATCACCTTCCACTGCTTCTTTTTTTCTTTTTTCAAAAATTTGGATCAAACGCTCTCTTTCTTTCCTTTCTCGCTTCTTCTCTCCTGATCTCACTCTCCTCTCTTCCCCTCTCTATCTCGTTCTAGGAACGAACTAGAAGTCTCTGGTTTGTTCCTCTTATTTCTTCTTATTCTCTCCTCTTTCCTCGTACTCTCTTCTTCTTCTCTTGCCTCTCCTCTTTCTTTCTTTCTTTTTCTCTTCTTCTACCTGATCCATGGAAGAATGAGCTAGAGATTTATGGTTCGTTCTCTCCTCCTTTCTCTCTCAATCCTTCTCTTTCTCTCACTTTATTAATCTCTTTCTTCAAATTAGATCAAAATCTCAAATTGAATTTTTTTCACAATTTGGTCGAATCCTAAGTTTTTTATTTATCAATTTTTCCTTTCAAATGGCCTTAATTGGCTTCATTTCTCTGGAAATCAAGCCAAAAATTAAGCCAAGTCAAACCTCTTTAGAATTCAATTTCATGAAAACCCCTAAATTCTTACCTTGTTGAAAGATTCAAAAACCCTAGGTTTCTGTCTAATCTACTTCGGGGTTTTAAATCCTAAATTAACAATCCAAACAACTTCAATTAGCTTCAATTTCAGTCCCCAAATCTCAATTTTGATCTAAAACAAAAATCCCTAAATTCTTAAACCCTTATTGTTAAAAATCCTAAGTTCCCAAATTTCGAATCCCAAAACTCAATTTCCTATCCAATTAAACAAACAAAAACATGTGTGTGTGAGTGTGGGGGAAAATTCGAGGATGACAGTGATAAACTTCGTTGCCATCAACATAAAAAAATTAAAAAAGGAAAAGGGTGGATTACCACCAAGGGGCTTGTTATCACATGCTGTACATGAAAAATTATAAATCAAAGAAATCAAAGTGCGATTGAGTTTAGGCTTTAAAATTTTTGGTATGAAAATGGAGTATACATGTTTTCGAAAAAAATGCTGCACCTTCCCCTTTATATATATGTATATATGAAAGAATTTCTATTATATCCAGAATCTTAAACTTAAAATTATAAATCAGTAGATATTCCAAATGATGTAGCACGAATCACTCCTCAATAGCTGAGTTGGTGATTTAATCAAATTTGTCTCTTATTATTATTATTATTATTTATTTATTATTATTATTTTATTTTATTTTTTTGAGCGGATCCACAACATGTCCCATAATTCATTATAATCATCTTTTTTTTCTTTTTTTCTTTTTTTCCTGAAATTGTCCAAAGCCCCTCAGTGCTTCAATGTAATGAAAACAAAAGGCCCACTTAAGCCACTATTTCATGCCAAAGCTTTTCAATCTAGCACGTGTGGAAATTTTCTGCTTCAACTCTGTTCAGGCCGAGGTTTCTACCTGATCCATAATTTTTTAAAACCAAACCCATATATTTAGCTCAACAAACCTAATGGGTCTTCAATGGGCCGAGGTTTCTGTCAATGACCATACAACCCTTAAAAAAATAGGGCCCAATTCTCACTGGCCTTAGCCTCTCGCGTGCCGACTTGGTTGGATTCTCTCAGGTACTGATAAAGTGTTAATATCGCTCCCAAAGTTTATAACCACAAGAGAATCAGATTCCAAAACTAGACATTAATCCAAAAAATCATTTTATAAATAACAGTAGATTGTCAAAATCCACTGGTTTTTCATCGAAAACTTTTTTACTCCCCCTTAAAATTAATGTAAAAATAACAATTTATCACTACAATATTGGATAAGTTTTAGTAAGAAAGCCTAAACTTTACTTATCTGGGAAGTCATAAGCTGCCATTTCTTGGTTGAGGTGGAAGTGAAGACTGACGTGTAAAATAATTATGGCTCCTAGAAAAAGAATATTTAATCAATTATGATACATAATATTTAAATTGTATTTAATAAATTATAATATACTAATTAATAATGATATATGATATCATTTATGATTTAATATTATAAAAGGAGGAGTCTGATCCATTATTAAAAAAGAAAAAAAAATTGAAGGATAACAATTGTCTTCCTTTCTCAATATTTCCATCATTAAGAAAGAAGTCAAGTAAGAAAAATTATTCTTCAACTTTATCTTTCCTTTCTCAATATTCTTCAAAAATCTGAATTAATCAAGGTATGTTTTTTCAAAAATTCTTTGAATGAATAAGTATGTCTTTTTTTCAAATTATGTACAAAATATAAAATTTTAAGATTTATGAAAATGATGAATTTATATCTTGTTATTGTTTATAATTAATTTAATTATAATTTTCCCTGATGAGGCTTAAAATAAGGATAACAATTGTCTTCCTTAATTTGCAGATCAAATTTTCATGATGAGGCTTAAATGAAGTATAACAATTATCTTCTTCAATTTGTAGATAAAAAAATAAAAAAAAGTTAGAGGAGATAATCATCATATTTTGCAAGCACGCGTCAACGTTTTTGAGTTTTTTCGTCAAAGTTCAACTTATTTTTTATTTTTTTTGGGTAGATTCGACCAAGTCAAATTAAATTACCTAAATCTTGGATCATCAATCTATCATGTTGGAAAGTTGAAACATAATTTTTTTTTTTATTCACTCTAGTCAATTTCTGTACAAATTTAGGTGTTCATCATCTTGAATCAATTTCTGAAGCAAAACATAAAATCCTTCGATCAAACTAAATTTTAAGCGAGAATTATCTTTTGTTTCATTTTAAAGAAAAGTGAATTTATTACATGAAGAGATTTATGTCTATTTCTCGAGGAAGCTCTTAAACCAGTGAGCTGAAAGTTTAGGATATCTTTTCAATCCATCTTTATAATCTACATAATTGATGCCAAATCGCACGGTGTAACCCGAAATCCATTCGAAATTATCCAATAATGACCATGCAAAATATCCTTTCACGTTTACGCCATCCCTGCCAAAAGAACAAAGAATATATAATTAATCTTTTATGAATTTGGAAAAAAAAAATGCTAAGACAAATCACAAATTACTTTCTTTTCTTAGTGGGGGAGAACCATAAAACTAACTAAGATTGATACAATTAGGGCAAAGAAAGGAAAAACAAAAATCCATTCCATATATAACTTTTGTTATAGATTAATTTAAATATAATTATATCCTAAAGTCTCACCCGACTATTTAAAAATTTTTATTAACATAATTTTGTAACATGATATTATAATTTTAATGGCTAGACGGTTATGAATTTAAATTTTACCACTCTCATTATTTTTTATTAAAATTAAATAATTAAATACAAAATATTAATCACACTTACTTGATTGCTTTTTGAAGGAAGGAAAGATGTTGATAATAGTACTCAACCCTCATGTTATCAACGAGGGCCTCCTTGAGAGTTAATGAACCATTGTTGAACTCATCAACACCTAAATAAAAGGGAAGATATTTCATTTGAAATTTTTGTTTTTTGCATTTTATATTTTGCTTAATGAGAAAATAAATACCATTTTCCGTGATGTAAATCAGTGGATCATTGTACTCTTTCTTTACATAGAGCAAAAGGTCTCGAATTCCTCTTGGGTAAACATAAAGCCAACTTGAAGCTGCCTGCAATATTTCATTTCAATTAAAAAAAAAAAAAAATTAGTGACTTTGAGTTTTTCATGATTCTGATTATTGATGTACCAAAAGAAGAAGTATGTAAACAGTCGACGATAGGGGGGACACACAACCCTAGCCACCAAATATAATGAATAGGCTGATTTGATTAATGGGTTATGAACCTCTTAAGGCTGGCCTGGTGTAGACCGGCCTATAAAGCCCATTACAATAGTCTAAAAGCCATAGGTCATGGGATCCATGACGTAACAAATATGTCCAAAAGAAGTATTCCATGAGTACTTAGAAATAAAGATACAAAACTGAAACATAAAATCACATCCAAATTCTTTAAAAAAGATAATTAAGAATATATCTGTTTAGGCTTTAAAATATATTTTTATTTATTTATCTTTCACATTTTTCTCTTTTCTTTCTATCTCTCTCTCTTTGATTTTTTAATTTTTCACTAATGTTTCTCTTTTATTCTTTATTTTTTTTAATCCATATCTCTAGTATAAAATGACTATTTTGGAATAATTTAACATTTCTTATTTAGAAATTTTTGAGAAGGTGGCATTTTCAAATTACTAAGAGAGAAATTAAAATTTAAAAATTGTATAACTCAATTAAAGCTCGATTGTTAGATTTCTCGTTGAGAAGCACATTGAAATCAAAGAATAAGAGGAAATATTTAAGGATTGGAACATGATTTGCTAACGTTATTTGAAGATTTATGTGGTTGCATGGTACGTACCTTTGGACCTATGGGAACACCATTTCTCTCACCTAAAAATAGAAACACAAGAAAAAGTCATGTAAGATTGGTTGCGATGGAGTTACTTACAGATAAATACCCTTAAATCATTGGTAAAATTTTTGTTCATGCTTACTTGAAAGATTAGCACGAGAATCTGTTAAATAGCTTGCATTTACATCATTAGAAAGGGGCATATAAGCTGCATAATTAGTAGTATAATAGTTCAACCCTAGAAAATCAAATGATCCTTTTATCATTTTGGATTGCTCTTTTGAGAATCTGGGTAATCGGTCTCCAACGAAAGATCTCATTGTGTGTGGATAGTCACCATTGGTTAATGGATTCATGAACCTGCAAAAATAAAAAATAAATACTTCTATGTTGAGATTTGTGACTAAATTAGGGTGATTCTAAAATAGCAACAATTAGAACTAATAAACCACATCAAGTTAAATATGGATAATTTGACTACGATTAATTTCAAGTTTTTTTTTTTAGTAGTACAATAGAAAGATTCAATTTCTAGAGAGTTGATATGATAAGCAATGTTTAACTAAGAGATTAATGCAAGCTTTTGCTTTCAAATGCTTCAATTTGCATATGTGGACCCAAAATATAGATAAGATAGTATATAATCATGCTGTCTCATTCTCTAAAGTTGCATTAGATGAGCTAAACAGTATAAACCATCAATTTTGTCAAAAAGGAGCAACTTGATAGATAATCATTAATTTTGCTCACAAAATACATAGACTATTAATTGGGAAGGTTGCATGTTTTCCATTTTGTCCCAAGAAATTTACCGGGGCATTTAATGCATGGTTGATGTGGATATCTAAGTTACAACATATTATTAATTTACTGTTTTCATAATTAAGGATAAAGAGGTTAGTATGTTTTTATATAATAATATAAGTTTTTAATATATTATTACGTTTTTTATTATATCTATTATATTTTTAGATACTGTTTAAATTTTTAGTATGTCATTCGATAAATTTTTTTGACCATAAACAAATATTTTGATCAAAATTAAAAATAAAATACTCAAGTCGTGTTACTTTAAATAATTTTTTATTTATTTCAATTAAGAGCATTCAATCAAAAAATTTGTCTATAGTTGAAAAAATTAATTGAAAAGATAAATTGAAGAATTGAATAGTATTTAAACACATAATAGATATAATTGGAAATATAAAAACATAAAAACAGATATTTAACGACATTGATCTATTTAATCCTTAATTAAATAATCAAGAAATGTAGACATCAATATCAGTTGCTAGCTAGCTAGATCCAATACGTACCATCCAAACATGAAATCCAGTGCTCGCTTGGCAGCATTTTGGTGATGTCTGGCATCAGAAAATGGCACAAACCATTGAGAAATTAATGTGATCCCTATCACTCCCTTTTGAGTTTTCTGCAGAAGAAGTTCAACATAAAATAAATAAAGTGGTTGAAAGGGTAAAAATCTTTGCTTGAAGATATCTTGAAAATTTTGCTAAAAATTGTCAACTAAACCTGATATTTTTCCTTGTACAATTTTACAGCTTTGGCATGAGCAAGAAGCTGGTAATGCGATGCCAAATATGGTTCAATTCCTGAATCTCCTCCGGTACAATTTAATCCTTGCCAATCTGAACATCGACCTGGTGCAAATAGACCTGCCGCATAACCACCCATACTATAGCTCCATGGTTCATTCAATGTGATCCAGTGCTTAACTCGATCGCCAAATTCTTCGAAACAAATCTCCGAATAGTCCCGAAAATCATTCCTTTAATTTATGATTCAGCAAATGATATACAACAAAATTAAGTGGAGAAACTTGATCTGAAGTAATTGTAGATAATAATTTGCTCAAGAACATTATAATGCAATTATTATCTTTAAACATGATCATATGTTAATAATTCAATAATTTACATGCTCCAAGAGATAACAATTTAATCAAGGACATTATATTCTGTCCATTATCATCGTGTAGAAAATATCCATCATGAAAAAGGGTGATTCTCTAACTAAGAATCCCATTTTTATCATTCCATTATTATTATTATTTAATTTGGGATTTAGTTACTTACACAATTTTGGGGCTCAAGAAACCTCCATACTCATCTTGTAAGGTTTGGGGGAGATCCCAATGGAAGAGAGTTACAAATGGTTGTATACCTGTGCATGACAAAATTAAAGAAATAAATAAGTTATTTGCCCAAAAATATGATTTCTTGACAACAAAAAATGGAGCTATAAGATTAAATCGTAACCATTGGCTAGTAGCTCATCGATGAGGTTATTGTAGTATTTGATTCCTTCTCTATTCACACCCCCACTTAGCTTTCCATCTGACGGTATTTAGTAAATAATTAGATTCAAAAGATGTAATTAATTAAAATTTATGATCAATAAGTATTTGAGTAAAATAATTAGATTCAAAGCCATTTTATGTTGTAAAATAAAAGATTAAATCTTGCGGCATATTTTTTTTATAACAAATTGATCCAAATGATAATGTATCAAATTTTACATCATCAGCTTACTAGGTAATATTCTAGACCATGAGATTGAAAATCTGTAAGCATCTAAGCCCATCTCTTTCATAATCCCAACATCTTCCTGTGAAATAATTTGACAACAAAATAACATTAGCCCTTGATTTACAAGCATTCACGTAATATTGTATCACTCATAATTATTGAATAATCTGAAAAAGAATGGAATATAATTTTTTTTCTCGATATCAAAAGATAATTTCAACTCAAAATTTTAAATTATTACGTGAGGTTTTATATTACTTTTTAATATATTTTTTTAAGTAATTTTTTTTGTTTAAAACTTATATACATCTATAACTATTTTATACTTAATTATTTAATTTTAATTAAAAATAAAAATAAAAATGATGAAATTTAAACTCATGATGAACATTCATCAACAATTACATATACCTTGTAGCGATGATATGAATCAATAGCCACATCTCCACTTGATCCATCTTGTATCTTTCCTGTGGTTTCATCACGATAATATTGTTTAGACAACAATCGAGGCATATATTACGAAATTTGAACTGTCCGATACAATAGGAACATGGGAAAGGCAGAGGGTGTCTCTTCCCCTTGTCCTTTACAAGGATACGTGATTCAAATAATAAACTGCTTAAACCATGAAAACAAACAATAAAAAAAGACATATTAATATAATTATCAAACCTAATTATCGATAATGATGCTAACGACGATAATTATTCAACACTAATACACCAATGACAGACGTTTTTCCATAAAGTTGTATACAATAATCAGAAGATTATGGTAAGTCGTCAAAAGTTTGAATTTCAATGCTAACTTGCTTGGCTTTATATGCATGTACTTCATAATCATACAAAATATCACATGTGATGAAGAGTCAAAATTAAAAATGTTTTTAACTGGTCCTAGTTCTATATTGTAGTAACTATTTAGATGCTAAAATTACTTAGATTCTTCTATAGATGTCGTTTTCTCTCCTTTTTTAAATAGTGACGGGTTTTTCTAAAACTGTTATAAATTATGTGTAATATGCATCTTCAAATCTTTTTTAAAAAATTAATTATAATTCATACCTAACCTAATCTGAATGTATTCATGATGATTAAGGGGGAAAAAAATTAATTTGCCATGTAACTTAGATCAGCCTTGTGCAATAGCTATTTGAATAGATGTGATCTATCAGCACCATCGATTAAAAAAATTAAGAAAATATCGACCATGCACTTACATATATCAATTTTTTAGTCTCCTATTTTAGACCACTATCAAACACCAACTTCAATGTTAGAACGGAATAGAAATTAATGGAATTTATTGCAATGGCAATATATATATATATATATACACACAAAATAAGATTTGGCAATAATCAAAGAATGGTTTAATTTTCTACATGAATGACTAAGGCTGTGTTTGTTTGATGGAAAACAAATTTTATAGGAAAATCAATTACCGAGGAAACTATTTTTCGAAAAAAATTTTTTCAAAAATATATTTTCTGTTATTTGGCAATTACATGAAAAAATTATTAAAAAATATATTTCAGCTTTTGTTTGATAGAAAAAATTAAAATGCAAAAAGATATCCGATTGTTATATCAAAAAGCCTTGAGGAAACTTAAAAAAGACATTTATAATTTCACAATATAAGATACATTTAGAAAAATTTAATAAATTTTCATAAAAACTAACTCTAAAATTTTCATTAAAAAATAAAATGTATTTTTTTAACTATCAAACCCATTCATCAAAATTACTTTGGACAAAATCAAGTCAATATTCACATTTAGTGAAAAAAAAGATTTTAAGTAATCTTAGCATTGTTATTTTGATAAATCAATTAAGATTTTTTTTTTTTTTGAAAATTGAACTAATAATTTAGTTTGAAAAATAGTTTTATAAATTATTAGTTATCATTTATAGATAATTATTCATTTGGTCTCAAAAGATTAATATTGAAATAATTTGTAACTAATTATTTACTACAATGACCAAACAAATTTTACAATTGATTAAAATTATAAATTATTAATTTAATTACAAATGAATAATGTTGGAAAAATAATGTATTTATTGATGAATTAATTAATTTTATTTTCTTTTATAAAAAAATTATAGTCTTGTAATAATTATTTTCAATCATTTAAGTATAGTTTAGATGGTGTTTGAGATAATAGTAAAAAAACAGAGATAAATTATTGAAATATTTATTATAAAAATAATTTTAAGGTGTAAAAAAGGTTTTTAAGAATATTTAATGTGTATATAAATCAAAAAATCAATAATTATTAAAACTAGAGAATTAAATAATTAAATAATTAATAATAATTGATAAAAAAATAATTAAAAATTAATCCGATATATTTTAAATAAAAAGAAGTAGAGAAAAAATTATTAAAGTATATCAAAAAAGACATATTTAACGCGAGAGCGAGATAACTTGTGAGAAGAAAAATGTTTTCTTCTTTTGAAATTAAGAAAACATTTTTTCAAAAATACTCTATCATTTTCCGTTGATTTTTTTTCTAAATGTGAAAAAAACCCTTAAAAATAGAGAATGTAACTTGTTTTCCTCCAAACAAACACAACCCAATAGGCAAGCAGTAATAAATAGCAAATATTCTTATAGAATTAATTTAATTAATGATATTATTAATATTATTTTTTGATAAGCATATTCTTATATATTTAAAGAGATGAGAACCTGGATATCTATGGGTGTAAGCGTCCCATATACTTGGTCCTCTGCCTCCTTTAGCCGCTGCACCTTCATACTGAACCAAAAAAAAAAAAAAATTCAAGAAGACAGACACCTTTTCCTGTCAACATCTTATCAGGATCTCAAAACCCAATAAGAAAATTAAAAGAACCAAACCCTAACCTGGTAAGCTGATGATGCTGTCCCAAAAATGAAACCGGCGGGAAAACTCCCACGATTAAGAGAAGTAATGTTGATGATTGGTTTAACAGCTGCTGCGTTACAAGTGACAATGCCAAGAACGAGAAGAAGAAGAAGAGTTGAGAAGAAATAGTTTTTGTTTGCCATACCTTGTTTGCTAGACCTGTGGCTCTTCTTATGTAGGAGTCAGATATGCCAAAAAGCAAGAGCAAGACTGAGCTGTGGCCCTTTTGTATTTTCCCAGTTTTTGCTTTGGGTATATACCATGCGTTGTGATAACTCCTTAATTTCCCACTTCATGACAAATAAAAGAAGGCTGTGAGCATCTTATATTTTGTTAGACATTTGGTGTTTTTCCTTTAGGGCAGTTACGAATTCCTTTTCACACAAGCCTGGTCGTTGACTAGGTGGACCCCATTGTGGGACCCACTTTATCATAACCCAAAAATTTCCTTTTATTTAATTATTTTACTTGTTCCTTACTTATTTTATTTCATTTTATCCCATTTTACTCCATTTTAGAATCTACTACAAAACTAAAAAATAAATAGAAAATGAAAAAAAAATGCAAAAAATGTATAACTTTACATCCAGGGGTGTAATTAAACTAATTGAAAATGTAATTGAAGTAATTGGAGATCCAATTGATATAATTGGATTTACTAAGACAAAAATGATTAACAAAAGGATCTAATTAATAACATTCAATTTAGAAGGACTGCAATTGCACAAGAAAGGAGTATGGTTGCGGTCAATGGAGGTTTGGAGGGACCAAAATAGAACTGGAAAACAAATTCAGGACCAAGGCCATTAATGCAGCCCTTCTCTGCATGCTCCACTGTCCAAGCCCTGGTTTTCTGCTGTCAACATTGCAGCAATCAAGGGAATTGGCAGTAAGCCACGCTGCAGCAGCAGCAGCAGTCCCCTCTCCCTCTCATTGCAATTTTGATTTTAGCCTATAAATAGGGGGAAGAAACTGTTTTCAAGGGTGGGAAAAAAAAGGTCAGGAAAAATCTAGGTTAGGAAAGAGTGAAAAGAAAAGCAAAAGAGAGTTGAAATCCAAAAAAAAATTGGGATTATTTGGCTTGTCATTTTCTGGGAAATTCTGGGTTTTTCTGGGTTTCGATTCTTCAACCGTTAGCCTTTTCAGTTCGTTGTTTTTGGTAATTTTGGGTTTCATTTCGATTCTCATAGTTTTCTCAACTGCATTTCCTGGGATTTGGGGGGTTAATTCTTCGTTTCTGGGTTTCTCTTTCAAAATTTTTGGGCAGCGTTGTTCTTGGTGTTCTTCGTTCCTGGGTTTGCATCTTTCGTTTTCTGGACTACTAAAAGGGGTTTTGAAGCTGTTGAGAGAAGGATTTTTGTTGTCTGGTAGGGAAAAAAAGAGAAAGAAATGGTAAAGATCTGAAAAATCGTGAGAAGTCAGTGTTTTGGGTTCCTGGGTTTTCTGGGTTTAGCTGGGTTTTTGTTCTTGGTTTTCCAACTGATTTTCCAGGTGAATCCGCTTTGAATTTCTGTGATTTAATTAATCGATTATCATTTTGATGTTAGTTTCTATTTCGGTTGAATGAAGTAAGTTAATTAATCGATTCTTAGTTTTAAAACCCAGCTTTTGATTTTTTTTTTAAAAAAAAGAGATGATGAGCTCGAGAGATAAATTGAAGAACACGAAGAACAGGAGAGAGAGAGAGAGGGTCAGAAGGCCGTTTGATCGATTATTCAAATTGTTTTTTTTCTGAGCCTGTTTCTGGGTTTAAGCCCAGTCAGTTAAAAAGGAGGGGCGGATTAGACTGATTTCACTCCAGCCCAGCCTGTTCCGCAAAAAATAAAAAATAAAAAGGGCTGGACTGATCCTAATCCAGCCCAGACCCCCCCCCTTCCTTTAGATTAAAAAAAAAAACCGAGAAGGCCTGGAATCAGTTCCGCCTTCTCCGAAAAAAATGAAACAAGAGAGGCTGGAAGTCCACCCTCTGCCGGAAAATAAATAAATAAATAAGAGAAAAATAATATTTTTTTTGTCTCAATTTTAATTTTCAACTTAATTCTGTGCAAATTTATCATTTCATATTTAATTTTGATGTTTTTTTCTTTATAAAATTTTAATCTAATTTATTTTACGCAAGTTCGTCAGTTTCTATTTAAATCAAAATCTATATTCAATTTTCTATAAATATGTTAATTAATTTAATTATTACCTTGAATTTATCTTAGGCATGTTCGTTGTTAATTTAAACTTCAGTATTTGAATTGATCTGTTTAGTAATTAATAGGCGGATAATTGTCAAGTGTCCTAAGTTTTACAATTTTTCCATTAACAAACAAACAAACAAATATATATATATATATATATATATATATATATATATATATATTTCTTACGAAGTCTTCTATATGATAGGGACTCGTCGTTAACACAAAATATTAATTAAAATTTCTAACGAAGTCTCTTATCCGATAGAGACTCGTTGTTAACAAAAAAAATAATAATAATAATAAATAAATAAATAATTCTTAACGAAATCTTCTATTTGATAGAAATTATTGTTCGACAAAAAAAATAAAAAATAAAAAAATCTCAATGAAGTCTTCTATCCGATAATGATCGTTATTTCACAAAAAAGAATAATAATAAAAAAGTCTCCTAATAGTAATTGTTGTTTGATTAAAAATTAAAAATAAAAATAAAAATTCTTAACAAAATCTCTTATCTAATAGGGACTCGTTAGTATTCTATAATATATAAAAAAAAAAAAAAAAGTTCAAAATCGAAAAATAATTTGGCAAAAATAAAACACTCTAAGAGATGAATTTTGGATTAAACTAGATGTGATACTTTTCTTAAGAAAGGGCATCTTTGGATGATTAATATCTTCTTAAAATGTAACCAATTCCTTACCATAGAATCTCCGAACCAGTTGTCTATTTTAGATTCTTAATTCATTTAATATTGTATGGTAACTCCATTTCTATAAATAAAAAAAAAACCCATAAAATGAAATCAAACCATTAGATTCAAACATATTTTTTTCTGGAGTTTCATTCGACGTCGGGTAGCGACACACTTTATAGTTATTTAAAATATTTGGGGTGTGACAAGTTTGATTAAAAATATTCATGGATAGGCTTTAACGTTCAGATTTTGATTAATATATAAGTGTGCGCACATAAGCACAGAACCATATACGACTAAAGATGTGTGAAAACTCAAAGAGAAAAATCTTACGTCAAATTCAAAGAGAAGAACCTTTAAATAAAATTCGAGGAAACTACACATGAAATCTGTTGAATCGAATGGTAATTCATCTTTTGAAATCGGACATTGCTTAATGCATGGTCTTTTATGTTCTTTAATTATTGAATTAAAAAAAAAACAGGACAACGTCAATTGACGATGATGGTAAAATATTAATGCAACAAGTCAAAAATTAGTTATTTTTATGAGCCTTTATGATTAAAAACATAAGGTAAAAAGGATTAATTATACTTTTAACACATATATCAAAAACTTTATAACCTGATTATAATAATCTTTTATAAAAAATTATAAGTTTAAATCTTATAATTCGGTGATAATAGTCTCTTATATATTGAGACATATTAATTTAGTTTATTTGATGATGTAAATACCATATGAATGCTTGAGAAATTATAAGTGATAATGATCTCTTATAACATCATTTTTTGTGAATGGTGCAAAAACATCCACAAGAAATTTGCCCCATTAAAACTGTCAATTCATCCTAGTGCAATACCATATGAATGCTTGAGAAATTATCTAGGGATCTTAGAATTGGACATCAAATAAGGATCCCTTCATTCATCATGTGACACGTGTAAATTTTTATCTTTTGAGATAAAATTTTTACCTTCCCTAATTTTGAAAATTTTGACACAGCACCTATTCATTATTCTATTCACTTTTGACGCTTTTTCTTCTGCGTTTTCCCAAATACATCATCATCTTCATCATCGTTCTCAAATGCAGAAATACCCTTACTCCGTCTGATTATCAATTCCTCTCGAGATGGCCAGGATAGTAGCCTCCTAATTGGAAGACTATTTTTTATTTCCCAACAAGACTCAATGCGTACTCTTTTAAGAGATTGCAATCCACCACCAAGACTAATAGACTCCAAATTACGGCAGTCCTTGATACAGAATTCCTCCAGAGCTGTGCAGTGTTGTAGGCTTGGTACAGATGCCAGACGATTGCAGTCACTGATGCTTAAATATTTAAGAGATGATGTGGAGGCATGAAATTCGCCAGATAAATGACTTAATACAAAACAGCCACTGATATCCAATTTTATAAGTTTTGATAAAAGATGAGTCATTGATGGACTGCCGACGCTGCAACATGGGTCAAGAACTTTGCCGACGGGGTGAAGACCAAGGAGATTAGCGGAGATGGAGCCACCCACAGAGAGAGAGAGAGAGAGAGAGACGACGGAGGAAGGACGAGTTGGGTGGCAAGCTCTAGAAGAGAGAGAGAGACGGGTGATGAAGGAGAAGATGAAGGGTTTTTTTAAAAAAAATTTTTGTCAGAAGATGGAGGTTGATGGAAGAACAAATTTTCAAAATTTAAAAATTTTATCCCACATGTAAAAATTTACACATAACAAATAATGAATAGAAATAACAAATAATGAATAGAAGGGTCCTTATCTGATGTGGAATTCCAAGACGCTTTGATAATTTCTCTGAACGCTTATGATTTTGATCCCTCGTGATGAACATTTTGTAATGAGCATGACACTGGATAAGAACTATAATCTGTTTAGTTCAAATAAAAAGTTTTCATTTATAAATCACGAGATTAATTCTAATAGCTTAAGGGCTTACATTGGAATTAATATATTGATGTACGTATAGAGGGAGAACCTGGATATCTATGGGTGAAAGAATCCCATATGCTTCACCTCTCCCACCTTGAGCAGCTGCACCTTCATACTAAGAAAATGAACGAGACAATATTTAGCATCTCATGACTTCAAAAGCTTGGGAAAGAAAAAGAAAGTAACCTCAAACTAGCCTGGTAAGACGATGATGCTGCCCCGAAACGGAAAACCTGCTGGGAAACTTCTACGATTTAGAGAAGTAGCGTTATATGGCTTGGCAAAATGCCTGCATTGCTAGTTACTACGCCAAGAATGAGAAGGAAGTTTAACAAGGAAAAGCTTCGAAAGGCCATATCTGATTGATAAATTGTTCAGACCGGTGTGAGTCCTTGTATATATATATATAGGCTCTCTTTTTGCCGAGTAAATTATAAATTAGTCCAACTATTTTCATAAAAAGAATTAAATAGTCCTTCTCGTTTTAATAATTAATTAATTATTTTTTATATTTTTAAATATATTTATAATTTAATTATTTTCAATTTATTTTTTAACAATAAAAAAGAAAAAATTAATAAAAAATTTGATGAGAAAAGAAGATTTTTTGAAACAAAATAATTTAAAATTAAACATGGTAAAAAATTGTCAAATGACTAATTTATTAATTTTTTAAACAAGAGGGATTAATTTATAATTTACTCCCTTTTCACCTTGGGTTTATCCTTGATCCCATCCTTTGAATACATAGTTATATATATAAAGAAATATCTTATACCATCGAATATATTAAAAAAAATACCTCAAATTTTACGAGAGACATGTATAGCGTAAAGCATGGTCTAATATCTTTCATTTAGTGGAATAAAAAATTACAAATTGATCATGTGATCAAACATTAAAAGTATCTCAAAATTAAAAGAAATGGACGTCTCCAATTCATTTATTTATACGTATTCATAAGATGGGTGGGGAGTCGTTGTTAATAGCTAGATTATTTTTATTTTCACTTGTTCGTGGATACAAACAAGTAAGTCAATGTGATTGTTTACTGCTAGCCTCTTGTAACTTTTTAGATGTTAGTAGGTAGAAAAGGAGACAATATTATAACCTTTCAAGTCTCATATAAAAATTCTGGACTTCCTTTCTACCATTAAAAAGCCCATTAGGTTAACCCGATGATTCAAATACCAGAAGGTGACGAACTTGTAAAGGAAGCAAGAAACAATAAAGGGCCGAGGCTTGGTTTTTCATCGAGAGGACGGTTAAAGTCTTAACGGTTGTCTTTTAGGAACTGAGATTTCTCAAATTGAAAAATGCATACACATCTTATTCGAATAATGTGAGATTGGGGTAATAACACTCATTTACTACATCCAATGACAACAACATTCGCATAATGTTGTTGTCTTTGGATGTAGTAAAGACTACAAGAAGCTAGAGACTTCTACGTACACTACACATCTTTTTCTTGGCAGAGAAATGAAAGGAAAAAAACATACAGGTAAACGAAAATCAGAAGACAAGACTTCTGTTTTATTCTCTTAGATAAGATTTTAGATAAGATTTTATTGCTCATTCTTGTAAAGATCATTGGATCATGCCTTCCCATTCCTGAGGAAGCTCTTAAACCAGCTAGCTGAGAGCTTTGGATACCTCTTCAATTGATTTTTGTAATCAATATAGACGATTCCAAATCTTTCTGTGTAACCCGACTTCCATTCGAAGTTATCCATTAAAGACCATGCAAAATATCCCTTCACCTTGACACCGTTGCTACCAAAGGAAAAAAAAACAAAAAAACAAAAAACATAAGATCACTGAATTAATATAAATATCTTAATTTTAATTATGCATTAGGTAGAGACACGCAGGTAATTAATAGTTAAAATCTATCTTTATATAATAAAGTGATTAAAAAATTTTTTTAATCCGTTCTTATATCCTTAATTGAATTAATTTTATTTTTAAATATACGTTAAGTTTTCAATATATTATTTTGTCAAAATTTTCAAGTCAAACTACTAAAATTATTCTTATGATTTGTAAATAATTTAATTCTTATTTTAAGAATATCCTTACAAATCAGTCAAATAGAATATTTGTATATATAAATCGTGTAACTAATTTTAATAATTTAACATGAGAATCTTATAAGATTGATATATTAGACACTTAATACATATTTAAAGATAAAATTAGCTCAATTAGAGATCTAAAAATAAATTAAAAATTATCCTAATATATATAAAAATAGATTTAACTATTAATCCCAAATATTAATTATGAACTTACCCAATTGCTAAATTCACGAAATAGAGATGGCGATTGTAGTAATCGATCCTCATGGTGTCGTTTAGGACTTCCTTAAGCATTGAATTCTCATCATTTAAATCACTTACGCCTAAAACAAGGGAGATATTTCATGTTTTAGAAAATTTGGAATGTTACATCACGCAGTTAATTATGATAATTAAAGTTGTACTCCCTTAATTACCATTCTCCGTGATATAAATAACAGGATTTTTGTATGTCCTCTTCGTGTAGAGCAAAAGGTCTTGAATTCCTCTCGGATAAACATGGAGCCAAGGCGATCCTGTCTGCATTATTTTGTTCAAAAAAAGAAAAAAAGATGAAATTAAGAAGGTATGAATTTAGTGAATAAGTTCTTTTTTTTCCCTTCTCTTCGTTCTAGCTATGGTTTGTTAAACGGAAGAAGTAAAGAAAAATAAAGATTTTAATGTTACAATACACACCGCTGGACCTATAAGAACTCCATTACGATCACCTATATGCCCAAAAAAAAAAAAAATTGTTAACGTTGAGTAATCTATCAAAATTAAAAACATTAATCCTGATCAATTATCTTTGAATTTTTATTAATTTGTGCTTACTGCTAATACTGGCATGACTATCCGTCAAGTAGCTTGAATTTGTAATATTAGATGCAAGCAAATTGGCTGAATAGAAAGCAGTATAGTAATTCAATCCGATAAAATCAAATGACCCCTTTATTGTTTCAGATTCCTTCTTGGTAAATCTGGGTAATCGGTTTCTGACATTAACTCTCATCGATCGTGGATAGTGGCCGAAAACTATTGGATCCATAATCCTGCAAAAATACCAAGAAAAAGTTGTCATTTCTTTCATCAATCAATCAGATTTAGATATGATCTTATGTATTTGTTATCATTAAATTCAAATCAATAGAAAAATTAAATTTCAACACATACCATCCGTACAAGAAATCTAGTGATCTTTGTGCAGCAGCATGGTCCTGTGGGGATTTAGAATATGGCACAAACCAGTGCGATGCTATTGTGATCCCTATTACGCCCTTTTGAGTTGCCTGCAAGCACGAAGCATTTGGTAACTTACCATGCTTGAAAACCAGTTCTGTACTATATATAATTAATTTATAAAATTATTGTTTTTATGAAAACTACGTACTATTGTCTGTGAAGATAATTATGTATAGTAGTATAGGATTGTGAGTGTTATACCTGATATTTTGTCTTGTATAATTTTACAGCAGCAGCATGAGATTTAATCAAATTGTGTCCTACCAAATAGGGTTCTGTTGATGAATCTCCATCAGTACAATTGAAATTCATCCAAGCTGAACATCTATTTGGTGCATTAATTCCTTTGGCATAGCCACCTATAGTAAAGATATTTGGTTCATTTATTGTGATCCAATGCTGAACTCTATCTCCAAATTCCCTGAAACAAACATCTACGAAGTCCACAAAGTCTTTCCTGTAAAATAATCAATAATAAATTTAGTTTAGTCACAGTATTATATAGAGAAAATCAAATTGAACCAAAAAAAACTTTTTTTAAAAAAAAAGAGAGAAATTTAATCAATTTACTTACACAATCCGAGGACTCAGAAAACTATTATACTCAACATCTAAGGCTTCAGGAGTATCCCAATGGAAGAGAGTTACAAAGGGTTTCAAGCCTGAAAAACAGTGAAAATACTATACTTGTTCACATGGTATAGTGTCAACTTAAATGATGGAATTAATTATTATAAGATTAAATTATACCATTTGCAAGGAGCTCATTGATGAGGTTGTTGTAGTATTTGATTCCTTCCTTATTCACTCCCCCGCTTAGCTTTCCTTCTGAAAATATTTAGGGTTTAACACAAAAGATTACATGTTAAAATTAACATAACAATTTGACTGTGAAATTGATCAAGAAAAAATACCAGATGAAGACACAAAAAAGGATTGTAATAACAGATTTGGTTAATTGAATCATCTTACTTGGCAATATTCTTGGCCATGAGATTGAAAATCTGTAGGAATCTAAGCCCATGTCTTTCATGATCTTAACGTCTTCCTGTGAGATTTAATATTGAAAAAGAAATAAGAATATTCCCCATCACATCACTAAAAAAATGTTTATTTTTGCCTGATTATATTTATTATAGCATTGATTTTATTTTATTTATTTATTTTACCCGAGACTCCTTTTAATTCATACTAGAAAACCTTGTTTAATAATCTTTGTTTAATTTCCTTTCTCTCATCATCATTAATTACCTTGTAGCGATGATATTGATCCACAGCCACATCTCCAGTGCTATGATCTCTTATCTTACCTGCATTTCACCATATCATATATTTCTTAAAACAAATCACCTATAAAATAAAATATATCAAGGTTGGACTCCAATATAAAATTCTCACCTTGCTAGGTAATTTTTTAAACACTTTTTGATTTTTTGTTTGTCAGGTTAATAGCTCAATTTATACTTGTATACGAAGATAATTCTTCAATCTGTCTTTATATCTTTAATGAATTTAATTTTATCTTTAAATTTTCAACCCATCCTTTTGTTAATTTTTTTTTCAAAACTATTCACGTGATATGTATATAATTAATTTTTATTTTAAAAATATCCTTGTAAGCCAATGAAATTGAATATTTTTATACACAAATTATATAAACAATTTCAATAATTTAACCGAAAAATGTTACCACTAATATATATAAGATATTTAATATATATTTAAAGATAAAATTGATTCAATTAAATATATAAAGACATAATGACATATTAACCTTATTTTTATTCTTTTTGGAACAGTGTCCATGCACATATTGGACCCTGTTCCAAAAATAAAAATAAAAATAAGGTTAATAGAGTAGGGAGGAGAATCATTAAGATGATTTTAATGTTCATGGGACCAACAAATTTAAGGAGGAACGCTAAATGAAAATTTTCCATAGAAACCTGGAAAGTTATGCGTAAATGCATCCCATATGCTTGGTCCTTTGCCACCTTCAAAAGCTGCACCTTCGTACTGAAAAAATGTACAGCATAATAGGGTTTAACACCTCATGAATTATTTTTATTTATACATATCTTTTTATGCAAAACTAAGACTAAAAAAATGACCTGGTAAGCTGCTGATGCTGACCCAAAAATGAAACCTCGAGGAAAACTAGATCGATTAAGAGATTGAATCTTATGGCTTGGTATAGCAATGGCTACGACATTACTAGCCGCCAAGCCAAGAATGAGAAAGAACAGCATACAGCTTTGTGTTGCCATGCTTGTTTGCTCTGTAAACAAGAATGGAAAACGATAGCTAGGTATATCTGCTAACCAAGAGTGGCATGATACCTTTATATAGAAGTTGAGCATGAGAAAATGCATGGAAAATTCAAACGATAATGTATGTGTATTAGTCAAAACCTACACCAGTAAATTTAAGGTTTCTATTTCGCTATGGGCATGTATCGGTGTTAAGAAAATAAAGTTGTTAGCATGTGTTTTTCAAGTTTTTGTAGGAGATTTAATTGATATTTTTTTTTAGAAAAATATTGCATACCTAGAGTCATATAAATTCATTCATAAGACCTCCCAAATAAGTTAAGTTTTTGGATTGAAATGATCATTCAATACGATATCAAAACCTTAATGATTAAATGATCGAAAATTTGAATCTCATCATTTTTATTTTTTTTAATTAATTAAACATAAGATATTAGTTTTCACTTGATTTATAATATAATTTATATTATTCTCTATTATGATATATTTGACTTTAATTAATTCATCTTAATTAATTAATAAGCACCATGAAACTTAGCGTGTATGGAAAAATTGAAAAGAAAAGGAAAACATTGAAGTCATGCAACTAGAATTTTTTTTGCCCCCGTCAAGACTCAAGAGGCTTGTTAGGCTTTAGCCTACACAATAAAATGTATCGCTTTTTTATTACGTAATAACCGAGTAAAATATAGTCATTATGATTCAAATCGGTTTCACTAAAATAAATTTTTAGATACACAATCAATAAACTATGTATACTTATGTCATGGAACTAGATTGATATAAACTAAAGCTACCTCATATATAAAAATAGAATTTAAAATTTGATTAGACTGAATTTCACATCTCCTAGCCCTGCAGTTGTTCGGTTACCTTTAACATGCTGGAAAAGTACGTAGATTTTCTGTTAATGTTCAATACTCCAACCGGATTTTGAATAAAATAATAATAATAATAATAATACTCCAACCTGATAAATAATACAAAAGTAAAAGAGAACAAAAACTTAGGTATTTCTCGTGCATAGAAATACCTTCCACTGAATTCTTTGAACTAATAATTTTTGTGGTTTTTATAAATGTAAATTACTTGGTTTTTAGGCTCTGATCACTTTTCTTGAAAAAAAAAAATTACTTGAGATAATTAAGTTACTACTAAAAGATTATAAATTGTTTATCGTTCTTACAAAAAAAATTCTAATTGTATTTTTTGTTTTTTGTTTCTTATTTTTTTTTAAAGGTTAAAATTTGAAAATTTTTAGAAAAATGAAAGATACTTAAGTTACAATTTAATTAGAAAGCAACTTTCTAATCAGCCACCTCAGTAATTGACAACAACTTTCTAATTGTACTACCTTTATGGTTTTATGATAATTGCCAAATCATCATCCTCAATATTATTTTATTTCATACTTTCATAGATTTTGTTAGTAATATACCTACATATTCACGTATATTCTTAGCTATTTTGAAAATAAGTTTAAATTTTGATTCCGACGTAAGTTCGGTTCAAATCCTCTAAAATAATAATAATAATAATAAAGTGTGATGTGTACGTAATCTTTTCAGTCAAAAAATAAAAAATATTTCAAGTACAATAATAATCTCATTCAATTTGTTAAATATCACAAAGGTTGAATATCCTAATATATAGAATTGGTACAATTAGTAAAATTTTATAAGATTTTCAAATTGAAAGGATGAGGTCCTTAGTTGGGATTGTTGACCGTATGGAGTTGTGAAAACGCAACCCTGTTTGTGTACGTGTGTATCTCATCGATCTAGCTAGTGGCCATGACATCCGCATTTTGGCCGTCAATAAGTTGAACTGCATAGTATGGAAAAGCTGAGTTGGATATCCACATTTTGGAAATCATGTATTCCAATAATATTTATTCTATCAATGAATAAATAAAATAAATTCTTCTCAGTTGGTTGAGATCTCTGCTAATTCATTATTTAAAGTGGAATTGTAAGACTAATTTTTTTTATAAGACATTAATTAGATTAAATTTATTACAACCCAAGATTTGGGTTTATGTATATAAGTCGACGTTGACTAGATCATTAATGAATGGAATGTGGTGGGTCAATTCATTAAAGAAATCATGAAAAGCACTAACCCTTTATGGACGTTAGTTTGGTAAAGTAAGGTGGACTAGATTTGGTAAACATGTAATTCATGAATTCGTCATTATAAAAAAAATCATTTCAATTAAAAAAATTAAATTATTAAATGAGATTAAAAAAATGGTTCTATATTATCTATAACATACATTTTTAAGTGAAAATTCTTTAGATTCAAAACTTATAAAGGTCTAGTGCTATCTTGTGTAGCAATGTATTTAATTTAATTTAAAAAATAAAATGATAAAATTTGAACTAGTAATTATTATTTGATCATTTAAGTTGTGGTATCATGTTAAAACGCCTTTTCATTTTTGTTTCCTTTTTAAAGTTTGATATAGACAATCATAAAGTTACAAATAATAAATATATATTATATAACTCACAATATTAATGTATTTGATTCAAAATTATTTAATCTTATAAAACACATGACAATTTCAAAATCAAACTAAAAAAAATAAAAAACTAAGAAAATAAAGTACATGTTCATACGGAAATAAACTAGTGTTTCCTAATAATAGATTTATATATTTTTATTATTTTAGTTAGCATCTTTTGATAATAGTGCCTATTAGATGCCATAAACCCATCTAAATTAGACAACGGATACATAACCATGAGAAAAAATAAATATTATTTTGTTTTAAAAAGATTTTTTCTTTTTTCTTTTTTACATGGATTAAAAAATTATTAATTGTTTTAATATATCAACAGTTTTTATTTTATATATTTTTTTTAAAAAAATAAGAATTGTATTTAGATAATCTTTTACAAATTGAATTTTAATTAGAGATATTTTAAAAAAAATACATCACTTAACGTTTTCACAAGACATTTGGAGCAAATATATATAAATAAAAATATAAACAATCTCTTAATTAAATAAAGTGTATTTATGAGATAAGAGAAATCAGATGAATTTCGTATGATTATTTAATAGGTCTGTTGATATTGCCCCTTTTTTAAGTTTGTCCAAGAACATACCTTACCTAACATCTCTACCTTCAATATTACCAAAATGTGGTGTGTACGTAGGTTAACAAAAATATAATTTAAATTAACGGTTCAATCTGTTTTTATATAATAAAAATAATTTCTTCAATTTTTTTTATATCTATAATTGAAATAATTTATTATTAAATATATATTAATGTCTAATGTATCCTTCTAGTAAGATTTTTAAGCTAAACTATCAAAACTAGTCACTCGATTTGCACATAAAAACTTTTTATTTGACTGAATTATAAGAGTTTTTTGAAAATAAAAATTAATTATATGCAAATCACATGAATAATTTAAGTAGTTTAGATAGAAAACCTTGATAAAAAAAAATTGATTAAAAACTTAATATATATTCAATGATAAAATTGACTCAATTAAAAATATAAAGATAAATTAAAAAAATTATTTTGTAATATAAAAATAGATCGAGTTATTAGCATTAATTAAATTCAATGAACATCCTAAGTCCACATATACTTTGATTTGATTATTAATGAATAAGTCCACGTATACTTTGACTAGACTATTAATGAATTGAAGGTGCTAAGTCAATTAGTAACGAAACTATTAAAAGCACTAATTTTTTATGGACTTCAGTTTTGTAAATTAACGTGGTTGATTTTGAAAATTATGCCTTATATTGGTGGTATTTTTTTCTTTTAGGTCAATTCATTAGCGAAATCATTAAAAGCATAATATATATATATATATATTTTTTATGGATTTCAATTCCATAAATTACTGTGCGTTAGATTTGACAACTATACCTTATATTTGGTGGTATTTTTTTTAATAAATATAATTAAAGATGTATTGGTGTGTATCGTATCGTGGATATACGCTTGTGTATTGTGTTATACAATTTATAAATAAATGCTAATTAATTTAAGAGAAAAAGAGATTTATTTTATGAGAAAAACAATGTTTAAGTACTAGCTAGAAACCGAACAAAGAACATTTGTTCATTAGAAAAAAAATGAAAAAAGGACTAAACTAATAGTTTCTAATACAAGAGAGAACTAACGAATTAAGTTTTACAAGGACTAATTAAGAGGTCTAAAGAAGTAATTAGCTGTCTGTGTAATTCAGCCCATTGGAGGCCAGTGATTAGATTAGGGCCATCTTCACCAAGTTCTTAGTGAGAGTTTGGGCTTTCTTTAGGAATGAACTGAGCCTATACTCGAGTAAATTATAAATTAATCTCTCTTGATTTTAGAAACAAAATAATTAGTCCTTTTACTTTAAAAAGTAATTATTAGAGAATTATCATGCTATATAAAAACAGATTGATTTAAGAAAACTTAATCTATATTCAAGAATACAGTTAGTTTAACTAAAATAATATAAAGACTGATCGAAGAATTATCATATTATATAAATATAGATTCAACTATCAACTATTTATTTATTTATTAGAGTTCCAATGCGTCGTGACTATTTGATAGAGATGGTGCTTCTAATTCTTTTTAAACTTTCTAATTGAGATGAAGTCTTAGTTGTTAGAATTGTCTTCTAGAGACAGTGAATTGTCTACTTGAAAAGTGCACATATATTTTAAAAATATAGATAAGGAAAAAATGGGATTTGGGAAATAGCATTCATTTTGATTGAAGAGAAGCTGAATACATTAATTCTTCAAATGATGTTGTCATTTTGTAGTAAAGACAACAATACAACGTAGAGGCTAAATACCTCACTGCCTACTGACTTCATTCTTGGCAATTTTATTGAGGGAGAAAAAACTTCGATCTCTCTTATTTTCCAAAACTAAGATTTTGCTGCTCATTCTTGCAAAAATCACTGGATCATCCCTTCTATTTCTTGAGGAACTTTTTGAACCAATGAGCTGAGAGTTTTGGGTATCTCTTCAATCCATTTTGATAATCAATATAGATGATACCAAATCTTACTGTGTAACCGACAGCCCATTCAAAATTATCCATCAATGACCATGCAAAGTATCCCTTCACGTTGACACCCTCGCTTTAAAAAGAAAAGCAAAAAAAAAAAAAAAAAAAAGATCATTTAATCAATACCTTAATGTTAATTATATATGAACTTGGTAATTAAAGAGACACAAATATTAATTCAGAAGTACTTACGCCATTGCTAATTTCAAGAAAGAGAGATGGCCATGGTGGTAATCGATCCTCATGGTGTCATTTAGTTGTTGCTGAAGCGGTAATTTGGGATTATTCACCTCACTTACACCTAAAACAAGCAAGAAATATATTAATTTCATGTCAAATGGGCTTTTAGCAAAAATTGGAATGGCAGTTCACGTAGTTAAATTTGATTATTAAGAAGTTAATTAATCACCATTTTCAGTGATGTAAATAACAGGATTATTGTATTTGAACTTTGTGTAGAGCAAAACTTCACGAAATCCTTTAGGATAAACATGGAGCCAAGGTGATCCTGCCTGCATTATTTTATAAAAAAAGGACGAAACTTATAAGTTGTGACCCAAAATTAAAGAAATAAAGGTTGTGTAATTTTCTTGATACACACCTGTGGACCAATAAGAACTCCATTACGATCACCTATAAGCACAAAAAAGAAAGAAAGAAAGAAAGATGATGGTCAATATTGAGCAATTAATCTACTCAGAATAATTAGAAACATGAATCCTCAATTTTCTTTGAATTTTTAAGGTGTGCTTACTTGTAAGGGTGGCAAGGCTATCCGTCGTGTAGCTTGGATTTGTAATATTAGATTTAGGCAAATTGATCGCATAGAAAGTAGTATAGTAATTCACTCCAATGAAATCGTATGTCCCCTTTATAAATGCAGATTCCTCCTTGGTGAATTTGGGCAATCGTCTTCCAACAATAGCCCTCATAGAATTTGGATATTGACCGTAAACTACTGGATCCATAAACCTGCAAAAATTCCACAGAAAAGTGTGATCATTTCTTCATTTAATAGGACTAAAATATGAATTTTTTTTTTTTTTTGAGAGAAGTTGGAACTCGAAATCGAAACCTGTTAGCGAAAGGAAGACATGAATATCTGTCTAGCTATGAGCAATAAGTACAAGGAGACATACCATCCATACAGGAAATCCAGGGATCGTTTTGCAGCACCTTTGTCCTCTGGGGTATTAGAATGTGGCACAAACCAGTGGCATGCTATTGTGATCCCTATAATGCCCTTTTGAGTTGCCTGCAAGCACAAAGATTAGGTTACTTGTCATACTTTAAAACCATATATATATATATATATATAGAGAGAGAGAGAGAGAGAGAGAGATAAGCAAGCTCGGTGTTGTACCTGATATTTTGCTTTGTATAATCTTACAGCCGCAGCATGAGACTTGATCAAATTGTGTCCTACCAAATAGGGTTCTATTGCTGAATCTCCACCAGTACAATTTGCATTCATCCAAGCTGAACATCTATTTGGGGCAGAACCACCACCAACATAACCTCCTTGAGTAAAGATATTTGGCTCATTCAATGTGATCCAGTTCTTAACTCTATCTCCGAATTCTCTAAAACAAAGATCTACATAGTCCTCAAAGTCTTTCCTGTGATTAAGATAATCGATAGTAGGTTTTGGTTAATTAAAATATTATAGAGAAACTCAGATTAATAATATCGAAAAGACTTAGAAACTAGAGAAAAATAATCGAGTTACTTACACAATCTTAGGACTTAGAAAACTCCCATACTCAGTATCTAAGGCTTGGGGAACATCCCAATGGAAGAGGGTTACAAAGGGTTTTATGCCTGAACATGATAGCAAGTAACAAAATGCGTGAATTTACTTGTTCACATGGTATAATTAATGATGAAATTAATTATTGTATATATGATTGAATCATAACCATTTGCTAGGAGCTCATTAATGAGGTTGTTGTAGTATTTGATTCCTGCTTTATTCACTCCCCCACTTAGCTTTCCTTCTGAAAATATTTAGCAATTAAGAACAAAAGATACCATGTGTTAGAACATAACAATTTGACTTTGCAAAGAAAAATTAAAAACAAATGATAACTTAGATGGATATTGTAAGTGGTAACGATATCGAGAATTGAATCATCTTACTTGGCAATATTCTAGGCCATGAGATTGAAAATCTGTAGGAATCTAAGCCCATTTCTTTCATGATCTTAACATCTCCCTGAGACATTTAACGTTGAAAAATAAATAAGAATATTACCCATAACATCACTAAAACATATTTATTTTTTGCCTTAAGTATATACGATTTTCAACGTGTATGACAATTTATTACTCTCTCTGTAGTAAAATAACAGTTTGTTTTGAATTTTCATATAGTTTTAAAAATTATAAATTATAATATCATATTTTTATTTTTTAATAATATTTTTAAGAAAAAAATCCATTCAATTTAATTATGCATTAGAAAACATTGTATTTTAAAAAAGTATAATATTAAAAACTTTGACCGGATAAGTATTTTAAAATAGACATAAATAGAAAGAGAAACAATTTTTTCAAGACCGAGAAAATATATTAAACTTTATTTTAGTTCTTATAACATAGAAACATAATATGTCAAACAGGATGTATGAAAAAAATGTATCAAGAAAGCAAATATAATATTATAAAAAAAAATTATTTACATGTGAGGTTTTAACCCTAGGTCCCAAATTTGATTCGTAACAAAAGCATTTTTTTTTAGGGAGTTAAAGGATTTGAATTTAAAATTTATTGAAAATGAAAAACACTAATATCAATTAAGGATAGCTTGTTATTTACCTTGTAGCGATGATATTGATCAATAGCAACATCTCCATTGCTGTGATCGGTTATCTTCTCTGTATTTCAACATGCATATATTTCTTAATTAAAAAATTATGCACGTATAAAACAAAATGCATATCGAGGTTTGACTTCAATAAAAAAATACTCAACTGGCTAGGGTTCATTACAATCTAGCATGCTTGTTTTGTATCCCGAGTAACCAAAAAAGTGTTGAGCTTTTTGCAAACTTTCTAGATCAAGAATGCCATCTTGCATTTTTCACTTATTCTAGATCTCAAGGCCGACTATTACCGTATAAATATTCGTACTTCTTTTTAAAAATATGAATCATATCATCAATTAAGAAATTAAAGATTGACCATCTCTTTTTTTCCTCCCTTTTAAATAGGATCTTGTAGCTCACAATCAATGATTAGATAGTTAGAGGATTAGTTTTAGTAGTTAGCAAGACAAAAAAAGAGAATCCTATTATTAGGATGAACTAATAAATATGAATTTTTTGCAATCGAGGTTTGACTTCAATACAAAAATACTCAACTGGCTAGGGTTCATTACAATCTAGCATGCTTGTTTTGTATCCCAAGTAACCAAAAAAGTGTTGAACTTTTTGCAAACTTTCTAGATCAAGAATGCCATCTTGCATTTTCACTTAATTATTCTAGATCCCAAGGCCGACTATGACCGTATAAATATTTGTACTTTTTTTTTAATATGAGTCATATCATCAATTAAGAAATTAAAGATTAGCCATCTCTTTTTTTTTTTTTTTCCCTCTTGTAAGTAGGATCTTGTAGCTCACAATCAATGATTAGATAATTAGAGGATTAGTTTTGGTAGTTAGCAAGATAAAAGAAGAAAATCCTATTATTAGGATGAACTAAATTGACTATCACTATAAATATGAAGAGTTATTATGACATTCTCTTATAATACGAACTTTTTTCAACTTAAATATTTCAAAATAAAAAATATTTGAATTTATAACTTCTTGCAAGGGTAAAGAACTCGTTATCATTAAACTAGAAGTCCATTGGTTAAAAACCAGTCATCTCATCACTTGCTGCAAAACATGGTAGGATTAATAATTGATGCACTAGACATGAAGGCACTAACATAAGTCGATCTTATAGTTTATCCGACAAAAAAAAAAAAAAAAATTAAGAAGAAATGCTAAATGAAAAATTTCTTAAGATGAAGAGAAACCTGGAAATTTATGCGTAAATGTATCCCATATGCTTGGTCCTTTGCCATCTTGAAAAGCTGCACCTTCGTACTGAGAAAACGTACAACATAAAAGGGTTTAACATTTCATGAAAGTAATTATTTCGTTCATATATTCGAATTCGAAAACTCTTGAAAAAGGGAAATACGAAAGCCATTGAGTTACAAATTTATTGGCTCCAAATTAATTAAACACGTGAAGTAAAATCCATGATTGATGGAAAACTAAGACAAATGACCTGATAAGATGCTGATGCTGCCCCAAAGATGAAACCTTTTGGAAAACTATAACGATTGAAATAATGTATCTTTTTGCTTGGTGTACTAGTGGCTACAATATTACTAGCTACCAAGCTAAGAATGAGAAGGCACAACAAATAGCTTTGAGTTGCCATGGTGTTAAGAATAGCAAGATAGTGTGCTTAGACAAGGGTGGGAAGGGACCTTTATATAGACGTCGAACGCAAGTAAATGTGGCATGGGAAGCTCAAAAATAATATATAGTATATAATGATCAAAACCTACGTACACTAGTAATTTAAGGTTTTTGCTTAGCTGTGGGCATGAATATTTATATATAAAAGAAGTTGTTGGCACGTATTTTTCAAGTTTATGTAGCATATTACTATTTACTTTAATTAGTTCAACTTATATCAATCGATCTTCATTTTGTTTATTCTGAGAATAATCTTTCGCATAACTTTGATGGAATTAAAAGATGGACAAAAATCATAAAAAACTCGTCAATTGGGTTTTTTAAACGAATAATTTATAGTTTCACCGATGGTTTAGTTTTACTTAGTTTTATTTTTTGACAGTCTACCTCTTAGATTGCTTATTTATTTTATATTCTGAACTCATTTCTTAATCTTTCTTTTTTTTCTTTTTTTTGTTGATTCTTTCATTTCTAATATATTTATTGACTTTCATAAAAAAAAATATTAAAAAAAAACAAGTTTCATATACACACACTTATCTAACAAACACCACAAAACTTAACTTGGAGGGAAAAAAAAAACATTCAAGTCATTGACCTCCTAGAATAATACAAACACACGTTAATTACCTCGTACAAATTGGTATTTTGATTCAAATTGCTCGCACTCCTTCACATATATAAAAATTAATAATCTCATATTGTAATCGAATTTAAATATAATTGACAACAACTTTCAAATTGTACTCTCTAATTGCCAAATAAATATGGCTTGTTGAAACTTTCTAACTGTAGTTTAGTCAGTAATTTAATTAATTTGAAACGAACTTTCTAATCTACCACCTAATTAATTGAAAACATCTTTCTAACTGTACTCTCTATTTGCCAAATAAATATGCATGGCTTGTTGAGACTCTTGACTTAGTGGTTTTAGACATGGGTTTTCAATGCATGGCTTATGACTTTCGCCATCAATTTTTGTATTTATAGTACTTTCGTCAAAATTATTATCATCCCTTATATTAATTAGCTAATACAGCATAGAAGAAACAAGATTTTTTTTTCTTATATAGCTGTATTATCTAATTTCAGGGATGATCGAGAATGTCATCCAACTTGTGAAATTTCACACGGTTGAATATCCTAAAATTATATATATAGTAAAATTTTATTAGATTTTTAAATTGAAATATTTGGTCCTTAGTTGGGTTTTTTGTCTTATGATAAAAGTATTCTCGAATCGGTTTGCAAACCAATCGAGGCCAAATTTCTTTTTGAATAATCATTTTCTCCTCATACGATTTTAAAAACCCACTTCTCACATCGAGCTCGTTTATTAGAAAAAATTTAATAATTTTCTTTTTAGATATTAATTTTAAAATTTAAACTTAAGGGGAAAAAAAAGGAGAGCTAAATTCCTTAAACAACCCTTGAAATTTCGTTGGGATTTGTTGACTACTTGAACTCACACACATGTGTTCAAATATATATATATATATATATAACACCCTGTCATGTTCCTCGTCTAGTGGCCATGTACATTAATTTGGATATAATCAATAAGATGTACCGCAATTCTATGGAAAAGATGAGTTGGCTATAAAAATTCGAAAGTGTACTTGATCTTGCTACTTTTAGACAAGGAATGCTATTTATTGTATCCAAAAGGAATAATACTAATATTATCCTTTAGTCCGTTGAGATCTATGCTTATTAGTGTAAATACAATTGGAAATCTAATTTCGTTTTTTTAGCCTGTATACTACATGTATTCAATACCACAATTTGGAGATGAAAATGGCCGGATAGAGTATAAAAATTATATTCTAGTAATTGTGTATTCAATATCTTTTTTCAATGAAACATATTCGAATCGTATTGAATCCAATTTATTTAATTACTACTATATTTTCTGAAGGAGAATTATATATATATATATATATCTCCCAGAACCCAACAGACTTCTCAATCAACCTAAAAAACCAAAAAATACAAAAGGCAAAACGTAAAGGTCATATATAGCAGCGGCCAAAAAACAGCAAGGGTATATATATATATATATATCTCCCAGAACCCAACAGACTTCTCAATCAACCTAAAAAACCAAAAAATACAAAAGGCAAAACGTAAAGGTGATACATAGCAGCAGCCAAAAAACAGCAAGGGTGAAAGACCCAGAAGAGTAAGAAATATTTACCACAGCAAAAGGAGCAATGAGAACCAGTCTTGAAATAAGCAAATTGCATATAGAGACATTTAAGGAAATAAAGAAATAGCATATAGAGACAGCTTGCTTCCAAGCAATTTTATAATACATAAGGAATAACTAGTGGCATGTATAATAATTACTTCCTAGATCAACTTTGAGGAGAGAGATAGACATAAGAAAAAACGAGAAAGAAATAAGAGAGAGAAAATTAAAAAAATTTAACGAACGTAATTCAATGTATTTATGTCTCTTCTCAAAATAGGTTCATGAAATAATTATTGTACATGTCACTAATTACTCCTTATCTCGTTATAAAATTTCTCGCTTGCTTCCAATAGATAGTCTCAAACTGATCTTATTGTATTGCATCCAATACATAAATTGAAACTAAATCTTTTCTTTAAATGATTTTAAAGATTTCTTTTCTACGTTCATTGAATTAGGGTATTCAATATGTTTTTTTAATGGCTTCCTCTTTTACCTCTATTTCTTCTCCAACCCT